GTTTCTATCTTAGCAAAATCGAACAATAACCCACATAATCCAAACATATGTCAAAAACAAAATAACATTTTAATGATTTTTTAACAAATATTTTTAACAAATATTTCTAACTTGATTAAAATTGAATACCTTCACATCCTTTTAAAAGTCTATATGGTAGGAAATAATCTAGAAAGAGCATCTTTAGTGCTTCCTTAAAATTAAAAAAATATATATTTTAGGTGTGAGGAGTTAAAGAAAACTTTCCTTGTAAAAGAAACGATAAAATAAAAGTCACAATACTACACAGGCAGCTGCCTAAAGCTGCAAGCTAATCTAAGCTACTGGTTTTAGTTATTAGGTTTATAAAAAAAACATGAACAGGTGCTTCTTGTAACTTGGCTCATATAAAAAACCAACAACTCAGTAAATAGTTGCAAGATGATGTAAACACGTGTCAGGATAAAGGGATTGGCAATTGTTAACCTTTAGATGGGTCAGTGACTGGACCCTATACTCTTCCATAACTGGGTCAAAATGGACCCGCATTAAAATCAACGAGTTTCAATCAATGTGCGCACGCACATACAATAATAGTTTTTCCTTTCCACTGTTTCTACATGCATACTCTGTATAAAGTCAACGACACAATCCAAGGGATTGTCCATCGTCTCTACATGCTGGGGCAGGAGGAGTGAATGCTACAAGTCCATAACTCAATGCAAAATGCTCAGTTTTCTTGGATTGAAACGTTTCAACCAATTTCAATAATAATCTGAACTCTATGCACTGATTGAAAAGTAGGATCAATTGGGATGCATGATTGTGTTAAAATAACTTTGCCTTGAGATGATATGTTGTGAATTGGTGATAATGTAAACTAAATTTAATTGAATAAAATGACAGAGATTACTTAGCAAGCAAGTGCTAATCTTTCTCTATGTTTTTTTCACAGAGTACAAATGCTCACAATCATTGGGTAAAACTCAAAATGATGCCTAAATATATTGAATTTATAGTATAAATCTAAACATACAATATATGCTGCTGTCAGTCAAACTTGAACAGAGTCAAATCTTCCAATGAAATTCCATAAGAAATGAATGTGGGACCTTATTGATCCTCTTATAGTGGGTTGGGGTAGCAATGCTTAAACTTAAATGTTACACAATGTAGTAGGGGTAACCTCAAATTATAAATGGCAGAATTTTAATATCCCATTTTTGCAAAATATCTTGAATATGAAATAACAACAGCTTGTCATTTTTAACTCACTTATGCTTCGAAGGGTTGATGATCCAAACCTTCAGAAAGTTTTGCCAATAAACTCTAACATATATACAACTTCAAATATGAGCATAATTTAACAAGAAAACTTAAACATCTTTAAAGTATGGAATAAAACCACTGGGTGATGAATAGGTGTGATTGTTTATAGGTTCTGTAAAAAAATGGAGTTAGTGCTTTTACTTCCCCCAAAGATTGTAAAACTGAAAAAAGGGGGGTTGAGATTTAAAAAATTAAACAGATGAAGATATTTTTTGTCATCTACTAATAACACTCTTCTTGTTAAAATTATTTTTGCAAAAATGTTTTGTTGTTTATGAGCGTAATGTTTCTCTGATAAGAAATGTGTTTCATTTACAGTGCTTGTATCTTTTGTTGTATCTGCTCAGTACAAAATGCATGCTAATATCAGTGGAACATGTTATTATTTAAACTAATAATCATTTTCTCTAAATGTTCCTCCTGTATCTGTATCAGTGGTTTATGTTTTGTCTAATCAGACAGCAGATGGATTACATATTCGTATCAGGATTTTGACTTTTCATCACCAATTAAATATGTATCATTAGATTCAAGTGACTTTTCAAGGCCAGGTGACTTTTGTGAGAAAAGTAAGTGCTTTACAGAGTTTGAGTGAAATAACACAGAACTCCCTCAGAATAACCTTTTGACCTCAACATTACTGCAGTACAGTTCAACTCTCCTGAGTAAAGCATGGACAGAATACAAGACAGAAATTGAGTGTCTTGGTTATTTCATTTTATTATTGCTGCAATGCTTTCCACAACCTTTGTTTGCTCATAGAAATGTGTTAGTTTTGAGTCATAATATCCCATCTGTATCACAGTGAAAATCCCATCTGTATCACAGTGAAAATGCAGGTCAGAAACCTGAACAAAAATGACACAATCTACGTGATGCCTGCAAAAATTCTAGTTTTTCATCACAATAGCAAAATACAGATAGCAACTGCTTAAAATAAAGATATCTTATAAATCTCTGGATGTGGGGAAATTTTGTACTACTCAAAAATTTTTCCTCTATTTTTCTCCTTATTATATAAATTTCTAGATACATTTTTGGTTAATGACCTCACATGTGGGCTAAACGCCAAGCATGACTGAAAGAGAGAAATTCCAAAAAATAAGATATATGCCCTGAACTACAGTAGACAAATCAGTAGTAGCTTGTCATCTTTGAGCATGGCTTGGTACTCTCTTCACTGTGCACAGCACAATGTAATCCTCAAAGGTGTGAAATTGTGGTCAAGTCGTCAAGTTGTATCTGCAGGTTTGGTAAACAGAAGAAGGTATATGACTTTTCACAAAGCAGCACTCCTCGGCTGGGATTGGGTCCACCATCAAAAATACATCCACAGTTAAAGTTGGAAACAGCATGAAACAAATCCAACCCTGCAGCTGATGACAGCAGTGCTGTCATCAATTGACAAGAATGGGAGAAGACGAGAGACAAGAATCCAACAGTGATTTGAGGATGGAGTGTGTGTTAATGAGTGATTTTCATTTTCATTTTCAGTCAAAAAATAAAAATAAGATGTTGTATCAAGAGTTTTTCTTAGAAATGCAAGAAATAGGCTTTTCTCTTCTAATAAATATGTCTGGCTTTCTTTGAGGTTTGACCTGCCAATTCCAATTTCAACCAATGTACTCCTGTCCACCTTTCCAAAAGATTATTGGAAAATGAAAAACAATGCATTGTGATTTCTTCAATAAAGGAACTAGGCTTGAATCCATTAGAAATACAAGAAATGACCAGATTACCTTGTTTATTTATCCAATGCACTTTGTATGTGGGGTTTCCATTGGCATTGACCTTCAGTTTACACTAGAGCAGTTTATAGATAAGAGCAAACTGGCCAGGATGAAAAACATAAGGTCATGGTTCTCAACTGGAAAAAAAAATTGACTGCTTCACCCAGGTCAGGGTTTGAGCTCTGCCTCAAGCAGAGAAGTTCACAAGTGGTGTCTTGTTCACGAGTGAACGTGAGTTGCTGTAACCATATCCCAGATACAAATAGCTTAAATAAGCTTCTGCAGTAGGGTGGGAACAATTAGTTTTAGAGACAGTGTGAGTCGCTCCTCTGCACTGAAAGGAGTCAGTTGAGTTGGTTTAAACAAGATTTCCCTTGAAGGCAATTTTAGTCTAAAACATACTTTCAATTACAGTATATCCAACATATTCTGACTTAAAATAATATTAACAATGTGTTGTCTGGTTTTGAATCTCACCACTGAAAGTTAGTGGAGGAAACTGCAAATTAGGAAGATGATGACAGGCCTTCCAAGGACTGGACCTGTTGGCATCATTACCCAATCTTAAATGAATACATGGTAATGGATGAAGGGAAATTAAAATTAATATTTTTCAACTGTCAATTATCATCAGAGTCAATCATGCGAAAATTGGTTATCCCCTATATCATTGCATTAATTGGTGCATCTCAGTTACCACAGCTGTCTATTAAACTACTAATGCTAAGCTTGCTTTCTCATTCCACTATGCAAGGTAACTTCAGATACAAAGTGAAACAACTTAGTATTTTTAAAACATTACTCAATAAAAAGAACATTATTTTGGGAAATTGTACAGGAATGTGAATGAAATTAGTTACACTCTCCAGACTTCAGCTTGTAAATCACAAAATCGAATCTATTTCAGAGCCAAATTGCCACCAAATAATAGTTTATGGCACCTCGATGTAAGTAACACCGTTTGAACTGTTGAGATAAATGTTCCTTTAGCGCCTTCTGGCTTGAGGCGTCTTTGTGCTGGAAGTGAGCCCCGATTGCAATTCATCACTGCAGGGTATATATATACTATGTCAGCGCGCTGTGGGGGAGGTCGATATCCCGCCTCGGCAAATAAATATATTTACATTTATTCATTGGAAGCCATTGCATGAACAGTGATTTGAACTCAAGATATCACTTTTATCCCCTCAGATGTTTGGAGCAGCCCGTGAGGCAAAGAGCCCCCCGGATGCAGAGACGGTCTGAAAGTAATGGCAACTGCACATCCAACACTTTTTAACTGTACTGGATTCAACTTCTTCACAGCCTCAAAGAGCAAAACTTCCCACCTCCAGGTAAAATAAACAAAAATAGTGATGTCCACTCACCACCCCCGTGTCCAGTTGCTCGGTGGCCAGAGAAGGAGCTGCTCCGGTCAGAGGTAAAAAACACAAAATTGGCAGAAAAATCAGCATCTCCGGTGACACGCTCCTCATCCGCATGCGAAGAAGCAGAGGGATCATGACGCCCTATGACAGGTCGCTCCTGCTGGGCTCGAACAACGACCCCGACGACCGCATCCACGGGATGAAACCACGCGCCGAAACACTGTGAAAATGCGCCGGTTTACCTTACAGTGGAGCGCAAACACATGAAGCACATTAAAACCGGTGGCGATGGGTGCGTTCCGGATTTATACAAGTTTGGTTTTCCTCAGAATGACACTTGGAGCCACCAACTAATGGGTCATGATCGCGGGAAAGGTCTCGATCCTTCTCAGATTAGTCCACTGGAGGTGAATATCCCAGCAGAGCGAGAGAGAGAAAAAGAGAGAGAGAGGAAGAGAGAGAGAGGCGCTCCGCTCCTGTCTGTGCAGTCTCTTGCACTGAGGAACCACAGCAGCTGCGTGGGGCTTCGTCTTGGGCTGAAGGAGAGCGCTTGTTGACGCGCGCAGTGAGGAGCGCAGCCACGGTCCTGAAACACTCAGGGGGAGAGGAAGGGGGAGAGTGGGGGGAAGAGGGGAGTGGGGACCAGCGCTTTTCTCAGCCACCCTGGAGACAGGCGGATTCCTGATGCGCGTCCTGAGTAATCGGAGAGTATTGCTGGGGTTTACGCTCGAAATTTGTCTGTGCTGTTCATAACGAGACGTACATTTCAATTAATTTCAGTTCTCTCTCTCTCACACACACACAAAAGAAAAACATCTCGGAGATTAAAAAAAGAGAAAACTTTTGGGTTTTCTAAGCTGTTATATCTTGCTCTTTTCTCCAGATTGCTTGTGATATCAGTAAGGAGAGGCATGGAAGTGTCTCAGAAGTGTTCACACTCCTTTGGCACGTCATAATCATAAACTTCAATGTGTTTTAATTGGATATTATATGACTGGTGGAGCAATTGATAACTGAAGGGGAAATAATTGGTTTTACTTTTTTAGCAAATAAAAAGCTGGAAATCCTTGAAATCCTACTTCATGGAATGACCAAAACATCTCTTGGAGTAGCTATATGTCTACCACCTTACAAAACACGATTTTCACAAAGTCTCACTCAGAGACACTGAATGGAGTGTGAACATCAACTTTCAAGGCTTGGAATCACAACTATATTTGGATCTGGATTTCTTGTGTAATTCTAACATATTTACATGCTTTAATTTAACCCATTTCATCATAGCTCTGGGTCATTGACCCATTTGAAAGGTGAACTTGTTTAAACTCTTTTTTTTTTTCGGGGGGGGGGGTTCCCAGAATGACCTGTTTTAACTCATTAACTGTGAGAATCTCTCCACCTCTTTCCTCCTAAAATTTCTGCTGAGCTCCTTGGCCTTCATGATACTGTTTCAATCGTTTTTGTGATTATTTCTATCTAGTGTTTTTAATAATATATACCGTTTTATAAGTCAATACTGTCAGCTGCAGGAAAATTTAAAACCGCTAAACATATCGACTCATCCAAAGCTTTAAAGGAAAACAAAGTTCTTCAAGAATCCACAGGAGTCAAGTGCAAACTGACAGGTAAGGCTCAGAAACAAAGTTTAAGTGCAAATTTTGAATAACATTTTTTTTAAGTTTAAGAGAAGCTCTTATAGAATAGAGTGGAATCAGTGACCTTGAGGATGATTGACCGAGTTGCATTGTATGTTCAGTAAGGTGACTCTTATTTGTTGTGGAGTTGCTGCATATACAGGAAAGGTTCTGTAGATCCCAGAATGGTTGAACATGTTGATAGATAAAAGAACAAATTTCAGATCCTATAATATTTAACTCAAGGAATTCAACCAGAACTTTTTTTTAAACCAGATTTCTTTCTTACCCAAGTATCTTTACATTTGTCATCTTGAAAGAAGAAAATAAAATTCCATGATGGAAAGCGTTACAGAAAGGAGGGCTGTATCATAGAATCTGGTTACAGATAGGAGTCCTGTTGGTTAAATTAGAGCATCTCAATAAATTGGAATATCATTTAAAAGTTGTTTTATTTCTGGAATTCCATTCAAAACATTAATTTTTCATTACTTGTTTTATGATTCGAATTTACAAGCTTAATGAATTTGGTCATTTTGACCAAATGATTGTGACATAAAAAAGGATTTTGATCATAAAAATCCAAAGGGCACTTTCCAAGAAAACTGGAATATTGCATACGATCAAGAAAAGATATATTTAGCATAGAAATGCCAGGTTATTGTTATAATATGGCCTACAATTATGGCGAAAACTGCCAACTTGAAATTGTCCTGCAGACACCCACCATAAAGAGACTAAGCCACAAAAGGTCACTGCTAAAGAAGGTGGCCTTTTACAGAGCGCTGTACCAAGCATATCGATGGATATTTGAGGAAAAAAAGCATAGTGGAAGAATATGCACAAAAAAAAAAAATATGGATAAAGCAAAGAAAATAGGGTTATGAAGAAACGACCAGTCGGGACTTGCAAGTAGATTCACAAAGAGTGGCTGGAATCAGTGCTGCCACACACAAACACACAGCTAGAATATAACTTCATAGTATCTTTGTTTTAAGGAACTAGACAATGGCAGAAGCGAGACTAATGAGAAAAAGACTGACCTTATGGTTATGTTAAAAAGTCTTTTTTTTTTTTTAATCTTAAAGCGAATGTTTATTTTCTTTAGGCGTCAACGTCCCAGAGTCTGGAGAAAGAGGGTAAAAGAATCAAGTTATGTGACGACCAGAGAACTTTCTGATTTGATGAATCATGTGATCTGGCTCATCATTGTCTCTCCTTTTCTAACATGCTATTTCAGCTAGCCATGCTGCAGTTCTAACAAGACCAGTTTTACATAAATTGCTCAAAATCTAGGGGCCATGGGTTGACGTGAACTGACAATTTGTACTGCATTGTCAGTGCATCGTTAGGAAATGAAAAGCAAGTTCACAGCCCATGATGTCCAGGTTTTTAATGTTTTTTTATTGTGAATATGTCTTGCCTATCAAATAAAGGTATTGGCTACCACTCAAACTGGATCTAGCCATGGATAATAAGAAGAGTTACAGTAAATAGAATAAAATATGCATTACAGTAGAAGCTGGGTCACTAAACAAAAACCCTCTGAAATGCAAAGATGTTATTTTTCTGCATCGCTCGTTAATTCTTTATTTTTACCATATATTAGTGGACATCAGCAAAAATAGAAGACGCCATGGGACAACAGGTAAAATCATAACAAATATTGTTTTTTTTCCTTAAAGGAAAAAATAATTAGTCTAATTATTTTTTGTGCTTAACTGTAAAATCCACCAGGTAATGGAAGTACACATTGTAATTATTAGCAATTAGAGCCACATGCCTCTGCAGTACATTTTAACAATTTAACAGTCAGGAAGTTCATTTAAGGGAATAAATTAAAGAATTTTAATACACTTAAAGAAAAAAGTAGCAGAGAGAAATAGTTGTTACTTATTGAAACCTCATCTCTGGTGAATGATGGCTCATATGTACACATTTGCCTCTCAGCAGTCATTTATCACAGGAAGAAGAAAATCACATGAAAAACATGTTTTTGCTCAGCAGTATTATGTTTTGCCGTGCTACCGCTGAGCTCCCAGCCTCAGTTAGACTGGTTTTGCAGCCACAACATTACGTTAATTGTAGCATCTGAACATTGAGTCTCTCAGTAAGCCTGCTGGTGAAAAAAAAGCTACACTTTATTCGCTTTCACATTAAGAGAAGGTCAAAATAGCCATTTGCGCATCTCAGCCTGCTGTGTGCATCTTACCTGAAGTATTTCACAGTCTTCAGACTATTTTCCTTGCAAATTTTAACTATTATCTTGGTCAGATTGGGAAAAAAAAAAACCCACCTTTTGGCCAGCATCGATGGAGCCTGAGTTGAATTTTTGAGTCATGTTGTAGTCTATTTAAGCTATAGTGCAGAATATTCTTTGTAGCACTTTCTGTGCCGAGTTCTTAGAGTTCTGGAAGTCCTTGTGCTATATGGTAAAATAGAAATATTACCTTTCATCATTTTTTTTAGCACAATATATTGCACAAAGAACTTATATTAAGTCTTGGACGTGTTTGTGTTTGATCATTGAAATGGAATTCTTGCTCACATTTTACATTCATAAATCAGAAATTATTTAAAGAAATTATTTAAATTAGTATTGTTTGGTTAATACTAATTATGTTTCATTATCCATCTTAAGTGTCTCAATGTTGCGATGCTGCAACATGTAAGGTAGCCTGGCACTTTATAATTGGACAAATTGTGTCCATTTTCTTTACATCACATAATCAACATACAATGTTGTATTTATGTTTGTAATAAGTATGTATTTTGACATTTTTACAAAGTAATCAGCTTTATTGCTGAAACTGAAAAAAGTAGTTTCTTTGATGATTTTTGTCAATGTGAATAGATCAATAAAACTGTAATGAAAATGCAGTACCATCCATTTCCTGTTGGCAACAAAACAATCAAAAAGAGGCTTGCATTTATTCTAGAGGTAAATATTTCCAGAAAATATGCATGTCCCCAAACTCCTCTTTTCCCTTTGAGTTATGACTGCCTATTAACGATTTATTAAGTGTTTACAACCTAAGTAATTGGTCATTAAATTTGTGTTGACCATCTCTGAGTGAATTAGTTTGAAGACACCAGGACAAATTCTTAAATGACAGTGGAACCGTAGAGCTTCTGATCGTGGAACAGATTTCAGCCATGTAAGAAACTCCAGCAACAAAAGTAATTCATCATACTTCATACCTACTTTATATATAGTTTTGAGTTTAACTAATCATGTCCTGTCTTAAAGAGAACAAAAATGTGACATCTGTTCCCTCCATATGCCTTTCATTTTGGAAAATACAAGCACATCTGCTCTCTGCACAGCTTGCAGAAGAAAGCTTAAAACACAAAAAAATGTTGCTAATAGCAGATTTATTGACTGAAGTTGAACTTAGATAAACGTTCAAAGTTGATTATGCTTCTTTCAGTGCTTTGTTTTCTCCCAGTCTAAGATAATTGCAAAGAAAAGTTATTGTTTACTGTAAAAATACAGACACGTTTGTTACACACTGGCTTGTATAAATTTAAGCTTTGGGGATTATGATCATGATCATTTGATCAGGTTATATTCCCAGACTCAGTGATAGCTCTAGAAAGTTTGCAAGTGCTCAGAGCTTCCAAGCATTAACTCTCCAATGAAAGCTTTATTGTTCCTCCTGTGGCTTCTTTCAGCTCTTTGTGATAACTTTCTGTGAGAAGACTTTGCTTGAGGTTATATTTCATAATTCACATGTTCTTCCTTTTGAAATGGAGAGTAGAAGCCTAAGGTGATATCATCAAGAAATCAAACAGTCCTAGACTGAACACTCATAAAGGTGACAATTAATTTCACGTTGTTTGGTTAAGTTTGACGTGCTTAATAGGTTTTTATATTCTTAGATTTTTGGTGCATCCCAAGTCGACCTGCCTTACATCTGATGCAGACATTCATGCTGCAGAAAAAGCTTATTGTTTTTGTAAACCTCAGATGCTACAATGACAAGCTAAAAAGGAATCTAATCTATGTTGGGTTTTTTTTTTAAGCAAGTTAAAATTCTGTTGTCCATTTTCAAAAAC